GTGAACGGAAGGGGCGAAAGGGGAGAGGAGGGAAACGGTTCGCCGAGAAACGTGCAACACGCGTCTGAAACGTTCTTCGTCTCTTTATAGGCTTCTGCGTGGTTCAAAGGGCGAGGCAGAGTCACCAATACATAAGGGAGGGCAAAGGCAAGAGGGTGAGTCCGACAATCTGCAAACTATTTTCGTGACCGACCGACCCGGCCGTCTCGAAAACGGATTTCGAGACGGCCGAGGAATGTCGCAAGGGTTGAAACGGGGCCGAAGGTCCAGGAGGATTGAAACTGGAAGGATTGGGTCAAAAGGGGTCGCTGTGGCAGATGCGAATTATTTTTGCGAAAGGAATGATGAAAGGACTTGTTACTTTTTAGTCGTTGTTGAAGGTGTCGGAGTAGAAAGTGATAGTGTTGACACTGGAACTATTGTAACAGTCGAAACGACTGGTTTCGATTTTTTTGTTTAGCAATTATTGATACATTCGAAATGATTTTGAAGATAGTTTCATTTGAGGAGTATATGTCTGGAGAAACTGAAAATAATCTATTGTTATTTTTAGAGGAATTGCGTGTTAATCGTATTAAATGCTCGGTAGTTCTAGTGTTAACGATTCGAGGTAGATGAAATTAGTCGTTCGTTCAATTTCATTTTAGTTTTTATTAATATTGCGATAGATAGAGACCGAAGCATTTCCTTACGTAAATAAAGAAAATCGACGAATCAACTCGCTGCTCGATTAACAGGACGAAGTATATAATTTCTCCCTTAAACGTCTTGAAAGGTAACGAGTCAAAGATAGCGTCCGCGTTACAGTCACGTCCAATAAATCGTTTGAAAGCCGAGGAACTCGCGCGAGCCGGTCGAACACGATTTTACAAATAAAACTTCGACCCATCGAATTTCGTTTATTTCCACAAGTGCATCGTTCGAAGAGCAATCACGACGAATTGGCCGTTACTCGCGAACGCGCCCGTTATTTCTTTCAATGCCGAAGTTTCCCCGGAAGGATCAGAAGAAGTTGAAATCCAGCGCGCGTCACCTCGGATTACGCGTTTCCAGCGTAAATTTCGTTAAAACGGTTCTTGCCCGAATTTCACGGTTCGATGCGGCGCGTTTGTAATCGCCGAGTATTCGATTCGATGCGTTCGCGATTAACCACTTGACTTACAGCTTCGTATCGATCTCGAGACGAAGATTTCAAAACTAATTCGACGAAGCTGAATATTGATCAATGTTTTAAAATCCAAATTAAATGTAATTTTCTTCTATGAATTGGTAATTCTTGAAATAAACATAGATGACTGTTCGATAACTGTTAACTTCTACTCTGTAATCAATTATGAACACCTCACTAATTTTACACTTTGTTTAAATCAATTGTATACTTTATTTAAACGGAATATGAATAATGTTAAAACAATTTAATCTAACGAATACGGTCTAAATTGCTTTCACGAAGACGTACATTGATATCACCTTCGGCTAGAAATGCATAATAGGTCAATGGGTTAAAACGGTCGGCGTGCATACAATTACCAGCGAGAATAGACAGATTTTCAGTCGATATTTGCGCGAATCGGCGAACAATGGCGAAAGAAAGATTTTTAATTGCCTCGGATACCGGGCGAGGAGAAAGAAAGAAAAGAACGCCGACGATAAATAGGTCAAAACGCTCTTTTTTTTCTGTTCCTCCGGCTCTTTTTTCGTTCGCTTCGCGCGACGACGCAGTGCGTGGAGGAACGGGGGTCAAAGATTCAATAGCTTTTCCACCCCATTGTTTGCGGGGTCCCGATTATTCGAAATACAATTTTTCCAGCGGCGCCGCGGTGCGTTCATTGTCTTCTGGCCGCGACTGAATTATTGATACCGACGAACTGGGAACGGAAACTTTCATTCGGAACGTCATAATTAACATTCAACGGTAATTAATATTCAGCCGCGCGTATCCGCGCGGGCTCATTCATCTTTGAAACGGTCGAGCGCGCCGATTATATCGCGATTTGTTATTGCGATCGATTACCGAATGGGAGAAAAAACGAAAATATTGACAACGCCGGGATTCCCGAAGCTGCATCCTCGCGCGCGCGCGCGCGCGCGAATTAAACTGAAATATTAAAATTAACGGTGCGCTCCTGCGCGAAATAACGTTAACGTACGCAAACGTCGGTCTTTATCAACGGCGACGATTAAACTCCGAATCTTTCCCGCCTGTCCGTTGCGTTTTCATTAACTTTTATGCATTCTCCTGGACTTTCGACGGCGAATTCGCTCTTAGGAACGCGCGCTCTGTCGTTCGCGCGTTCGGAGCAGACTTTATATTTTGAGGAAATTCCCCGGGAATCTTTCTCGCAAGAAACGCTCCCGGAATGTTCCTCCGATGTGTTATACTTTTATTAAAACGAGTACAGCGTCTGCCGGAAGTTTTATTTACCGGCACGCTGAAGTGCGCTCGAAAGTTCCGAGCGGCGGTATCCGCGACGGAGGAAAATTAGCGTGAGTAAAGGGAACTCTAAATAAATTGGAAACAAACAAGCGAACGAGAAGGAAACTTCATCGAGATCCGCATCACTCGGCGAGACACTTAACGACCTTTCCGTTACTATTAACCACTTAACGAAGGATCAAACGGGTACACTTACTCCGACGATCCTTCATTATCTTAATCACTCCGGAACCACAAGCGAATCACCTATTCTTAACCACCGATCCGATCTACTCCTTTCACTAATCCTCCACTCTACGATTCCGAACAACGAAGAACCTGTAACACTTCCAACGATTCTCCGTTGATCAACGATCAAACCGAGTCAACTCTTTCGCCACCTACGCTGAACGATCGCAATTAATCGAACACTATACAGTACTCGTTCCGATCAGAATTGAAGTCAGAATAATTCTTCACTCGTCGATTCTTCGATGAACGCAGCGAACAGCGTTCCCACTCAAGCTAATTTTCCGCACGTTGAGTATCACTTACGGTCCAGCGAGTTCCACGAGAACAAACGCGTCTTCCGCCGAGATGGCAGCGAGCGTTTCGACAATGCGCTGCCCAACGGGATTCGCGAGGTAACAGCGCTCCGTTCGTTGCCCACAGCTCTATCGCGAGGACGAGCCGGAATGCTCGGAGCTGTGCCAGTGCGGCGAGGGCGAAGTTCTGATCTGCAACACGATCTGCGTGAACTCGTTGCCCTGCAAGACGGACTTTGCCTTCTACAATCACGAGGCACCGGCGTATCAGGCGCATCGCGGACCCTGCCTTTGCTACAGCGGTCGTTTCATATGCATGCGGCCTTCACCCGGTGAATATAACCCCTTTCATGCCTCGCCTTCTGACGATCCGCGATCCCCGACGATAGCTGGACAACTAAACGAGAGACTCTTACAATTTCAGCGGGATAATTTCTGATTCGCTTAGACTTCACGTTAATTCTTTGGATTTCTTAAGCAACTCACCAGGAATTTTGAACTGGAGAATTAAGGTTGCACGTGATAGTATTCATTATTTTATGTATTCACTTCAGAGACGTGGGATGAACTAATTTTTTTGGAATTTTCTGTTCGTTTGGCTTTAAGGATTGTTCTATATCGAGTGTAAGACTTCGTAAGTTAATGAGAAAATTATTTGTTATGCTGTATAGCGGATATGAAGGTATCTAAGATAACTTTTTTAACGAACGTCACAACAGAATTCTAATTGAAAATTTTTCGATGCTAACTTCATTCGATCTATAGTATTTTTCTATTAAAATTTAGATTTCAAGATGATTGCACTTTGAGATAAAATATCAGTTACTCGTACTACGCGAACCGAGAGTTCCTTACGTTCGATCGAGAAAATTAGCTGTCGCGGTGCGTTGATGAAAATTTGATACGATAGATCAAAGACGCGCCACGTGTACGCTGCCGCGAACGTTCAACCGGAGGATTTGTAATTTCGTTTACGAGGGAGCGACGCTGATCGAGGCTTCGTCGTAATCTGTGTCGACTTGTCCCCGCAGATGCTTACTCCATACCGCACGGGGTTTTCATGTTCCTGGGATACAGCGAGCAGGACGAGAGCTTATTGCGGCCGCATAACAATGTCACAGTCCTGGACGCGGTGTCGTCCCTCGATAGCTTCATGCGAGAGGAAGTTAACAACCAGGTAAGAGAATCTGTCACCGTAATTACCGAACTACGAAGAAATAACTTGTCCCTCGTTCCGAGACGATTCCCTTAATTTCCGTCGTCCGTAATGGAGTCCACGTTACTCGACAAACGTCGGATGACTCTCGGAGAAATAATTTCAACCCTCTGTTATCGTGCCAGCTGACATCATTAGGGAATTGAAACGCGCATTAATAACCGGGATAACTTTTCCCGAAAGAAGACAACCGGAGCAGCGAGAACTGCACGATGTCGGCCAGTGAAATCTGAAAATTTCTCATCTTGTTTTATTCCGGCAAGGAATGGAAAGACTTTCCGCCGCGAAGTTTAGCCCTTTATTACTTAAAGTTCCCGGGCTGACAGTAATTTAGAATCAACCAACTTTTCGCAGATAAAAACCGGAGAAAAAAAAGACGCCGCCCCCCTTTTTCGATTAAAACTGTCCAGACTCCCTTATCTCGCCGGGCAACTACAGCGGAACTCCTCGTATCCGTTTACAGAATGTTCCAGCGAATTGTTCTGCGAAACGATTCCTAGTCACAACAATCCTGTTCAAACTCTACTGTCAACCGCGTCGCTGAATTCTTACGCTTCTCTAATAGAATTCCACCAGTTATTATACAATCATTCTAACTTCCCCAATATATGAAAGATTTCAGTTCACTGAACACTCTGTACTGCCGACATTAACCCCTTGCCGTACAATGACGAGTGAGACTCGCGATGAAGATTTCGGGATTAGTTTAACATGATTTACGGACATTTATTCTATACTCTATTCTGTTGTTCCTAGAGAACGTTCGTTTACATAAATCGCGAAAATTGTAGCTTGAGAACCAGAGTATTGCAATGCGTGTTCGCATAATTGCACGAATCGAGATCGACTTAAACTATTACTAAATAATGTTTAAAATTTCAATATCCGTCAGATTGACGGGTTCCGTAAACTTAGTGTTAATAAACATGAATACAGTTCAAAGCGCGTGGATCAAAGCAAACAGTTATTGTTCTAATCAATATATTATCTTGAAAGAAAATTTGTACATACAACGCAGTGGACAATTTCTTCGCGTTTCTTCTGAACTGCAGGTAGAAACATTTTGCACGAGCTTAGCAGAAGTGAATAATACGGCAAGGGGTTAAATTCGTTTTCCAACTCCCAGGTCGCTAGTATCTATAAACCTCTACGTCCCGCACGTCTATCTCCTTTAATTCGGATACGAGAGGTTCCCGTAATCCCGAACCGTCGAAACCAGACTACGAGCTCCGCGGCAGTTTATAGTACATCATCCTACGACGCTAATCAATTCGGAACGATCCGCGGGACGCCACGGTCCCGGCAGTAGTAAAATAGGGTAACTGGTGCCCAAGTGATCCGGCAACGTCCGATAATTAGAATATTCACGGTGTCAGCGCCTCCGCGTCCTCCGGTGGCCGTCGATCGGGGCACGGGTCGGCCGGCGGACCGCTCCCGCGGGCGCCGGGAGGAAAATCTCTCGGGGAACGCCATAAATCGGCATATAAAACCGGACGGGACAGGCGAAACTTAATAATGCCCGGAAGAGTAGGGTTCCAGGGATTGGGGATAGCGTCGGACGACGCCGAGACATGCACGGTTCCCGTTCTCTTTTTATTCTTGCAGACGGTGTGCACGCTGTTCCTGTACAACGCGACCCGAGAAAACGTGATTGCAGTGGCGCGTCTCGGGACTGACAATCCGCCCCTAAATAGCAGCCAGGCTCAAAGTCTCCAGCACCTCCTGCGCGTCAAGGTGAGCAAATTGCAAATAGCTACTTTCTTACTGCCGTCCCTAAATTCGCATCAATTCTGATCTTATTTTCCGGGCAACTGCTCTCCTGCCGCCACCCCTGCCGCCCTTATTGCCCGCGTACCCTGTTTAGACACTCGGCTGATACGTAACGCGTTATTAACCCTTTGAAGATAGTTGGGAGTATACGAAACCTTTCGCAGATTCTGATAAATTAAATACTGAATGCTTAAATCATTTGCTGCCAAGCCTATGTTATATGAGGCTATTCCCATTGCCATTTATGTTTTGAGTGTTAAAAATGCGTTATTAACCCTTTGAAGATTGTTGGAAGTATACGAAACCTTTCGCAGATTCTGATAAATTAAATACTGAATGCTTAACCCGTTCGCTGCCAAGCCTATGTTATATGAGGCTATTCCCATTGGTATTTATGTTTTGAGTGGTATTGTTTACCAAAGTTCTGTTATTTCTAGGTAAAAGCATGTATATTATCGTACATAATCATCTGTTCTGTTGTCAAATCATTTGTTCATAACTTGCTATTCCAAACATGGAAGTGTGACCTCGACGAAATGCCGACACTCATCCACAAAGGATTAAGTTAGCTGGACTTGGGTCAGCGTCGGTAGCTGTTTTCCTCTGGTACAATTTTTTTTATCGAATCTTAAAGTTTTCATCCCCTATGATGGACTTTGGCTGTCTTAGAGGATATTAGAATCGATGCATGTGGCATCGGAGGGTGTATCAGCGATTTTTAATGAAGTTCTTGGGACGCATTGAGGTGAAGGGGTGAAGCGGCCGCTGAGGATTTCAGAATATCTGGTAAAATGTCTTTTAATCGACTGAGAGTAATTATTACATTTGTGCAAGGATTACTACAGTTCTTGCAGCTTCCAAAAGTATACTGCATCTTTTATAATTAGAAGACACAACAGAAGTAATATAATAACTATACTTTGAACTCTGTAAGCTCCAATATTGCACCAGTTGTAATATTAAATATTTTTATGAATCTTAAAGAAACTACCCTAAAGTTATTAGATTCTCCACTCATCCAAATTTTGTACTAAAAAGGAAAATACAAGATCGAAATGTTATAGCATTTCTAACTTTCGCTAGGAATACTATAAAAATTAGTTGCAGTTGCTGATAGATTACAGAACAACCTGGAGTGCTAAGGGTTAACACCCTTATCAAGCTATACACTAATTTCCAAGCATTTCAAAGTAACGATCCCCAAATTTCCAACACCGTCGAACGCTAGTCACTCTGAAAGCTCTGCTCTAAATTACTCGAAGATCAAGCTCCCAAAATTTCGGAATCGCCGGGAAACGAAAGGAGAAAGGGAGCTCGCGTGTGCATCGCCGATTCCCCTAGCATCGAAAGGGCTGCGTGTTTACGCGAGCGCGTGCGTGCCACGCGCAGGAAGTGCGTGCAGCATATCCCCGCCGCGATAACAAACTTTACGGAACTTTTCATTCCCCCCCCTCTCTTTCTTCCGTTCGAGGGGCGAAACGAGTCGGACCGCGGCCGATCCCCCCGGCCGCGGAATTATCGCGATTAATTAACCCGCCGCGGCACGCTGAATTTCTCCCGAATTTAGAATTCCCCCCGTTCCGGCCCTTCTATCGGGCCCGGCGATCCCCGCGGTCACGGAAAAATCGCGACGGAAGAGAACACGGAGTTCCATTTACTTACTTCGAACCGTGATTAACCCCGCCGCGTTCCTTCGACGGTGATTTATGACGGCCGAGTGCTCGAACGCCGGCTAAACTTGCCCCGATCTTGCTAACTACCAGCGGGTCCCTTTACGACCGGTTTCCATGCGACAGCTAATGTACTATCGATTCATATTTTCGGATGATGCAGGAAGTCGCGCGAGCCGCGACTTAACGCGCCCGTTCTCGACGCTCGCTGCCGTTTCCAGCGTATTTTATTGCCGACGTGTGATCGGAATTTCGAGAGGAACGAAAGAGACACTGAGCCATACTATTTCTGAATTATTACTTCACAAGCGAAATGATAGATGGATCTTTCAACGATTCGCAGATATTTCTAACTTCCGCGTATCGGAACAAATCGCTAGACTATGAATCTTCATGCATTTCTAAAGACTTTAGTTCAATATTGAATGCAATAAAAAGAAATACTCCATATAACGTTTCCTAGGAGGAACCACTCTACTGTGGCGGCCGAAAAGCTGCCTTTCAACACGTTTTTTCTTTTTCACGTCTACCGTTGTAACTGTTCCTCCGCGAGTCTGCTTCGTACAATCACACATTTGGCGACCAGACCCGCGGGCCTGTGGGATTTCCAAAGGTTTTCCAGGCCTCGCTCGGAACTGCTCAGTTCGACGGGCAGGCCCTTGCCTGGAAACTTTCCACTCTTTATCACACATCTCTTTACTTGCCGTTTCACCGTTATCCTTCTTCTCTCTTTCGAATCTTTTCTCTTCTCGATCTTCTCCTACTTTTCCATCATTCTTTCTTTCTTCGTGCTAGTACATATTTTCCGACGAGAGTTTAGCGACTCTCATTCTGCGTGCGTTGCGACGTCCTCACGCATCTCCGCGACACCGACGTCAATGAACAGTGTCGAGGAAAATATTTCTATAATTCATTCTGTTCGCCTTCACCACTTCCTCCCTAATTATATTCCTAAAACGAATCTACATAAAAAGCCACAGTCCCGTTATTCCAGTTTCCCGAGCCGACGTAGAATTCAGGAGGTTATTAAAAAATCCGAACGGCTCCTTCGCCTTCGGTCGGATGCCGGAGAAATTTCGCGCGATCGATAAATTGTTTAGCAAATGAAAGAGAGGCGGGCGGCCGGAAATCGTAAATAAACCCGTCGAATCGAATAACGATGCGGGGAGATAACGTTGCCGGGCCGATCGAAAAATATGTACCCGGTTGTACGTGTACGCCTGTGAAAAATTGATAAACGCGCGCGGTTTATACGCGCGCGTATGTATATATACGAAGGGAACGAAGGGATAGATAGAGAGGAAAAAAAAAATGCCGGCCGAATATTAAGCGACCGAGCCGGCGCGCGCTGAATTTCCGTCATCGAAAATCCGTCTAATCCGTTCTACCGCATGAAACCCGGGGGCAGAGGGATCGGAGCGGCCGGTGTTCCCCGCGTTCTGAACAAAAGCCGATCGGCCGGCCGAAATAACACGCAATTACTCGCGTCCCCCGCCCCAAAACTCGCGGGGAACCCGCGCGCGCGCGGATTCCCGCTGGAAAATGATTTATGTAAAACCACCCCCTATATTTTCGTCCATGAATTCTATTAATACATTGCACGCCGGTTAAATATCGGCTGAAATCTGGAATGCTGGCCCCGTTTGTTCGCCTGTGGAGATTTATAAGAAAATATTAGGAATACACGGTTTTGTGGAATAGTATTGTAGTATCTAGAATTATTTAGCGTAGGTTAAAGTATTGTAGAATGAATGGTTCGTCGTGCGTGCGTAAGGGCGACCAGGTCGTATTGCGACGGACCGGCGCCGGGATGTTTGGAAAATAGTGTGACTGCGTTTAGAAAATCTCGAGTGGCTGAAAGAATGCGAGAAAGAGTGTCTGGAACCGAGCGACTGGACCGTGAGAAAAGCGTGTACGCGACTGCGTGAATTTTGACTATGAACGAAAGATGCGAGTGAGAAGGGTGCAAGGGTGAGAAAGACAGAGCGAATGGGGGTGTGTTAAAAGCGAGTGGGAATGCGTGCGAGAAGGACATTTTTGGTGAGAGACAGCGGAGAACATTTTTGTGCGTGATAGAGAGTCGTGTGTTGGCCTTCGTGGTATTAAGTTGTATTTTTACGTGTTGTCCACGTTGTTTCTTTATCTCAGTAAATACACATATATTGTTTCCTAATTCTCTTTTTACTGAAGATCCACCTTTTCAGTATCTATAATAATAGTAGCTCCACTATAAACTTGGGGGCTCATCCGGGACCACTATAGTATATTTCCGTTGAATATTCATTGCACGCGTTTTAACCGTTTTAGAAAGATCGTTGTTACACTGTAAGTGCCAAGCTGAAGGTCGTAGAATCGCATTAACCTTTGCACTCGAAAGGTGACTCTTATTCAGTTGACTTGATACAGCAAATGAAGTTGAATATTCAGTATTTTAAATTAAAATTATAGTTTGCAATGTGAAATATTTAAATAGCTTTGTTGCTTAATTTATCTGTGAGTTATCGTTAAATTAGTTTCAATGTCGTCTATATTTCATCAGAGAATGTCCGAATATTTCTACTGAGAAACTTCCGAATGCAAAGAGTTAAGTTTATTTGTTTTCATTCTATTTATTTTTATTGCCTTAGGAATGGGAAAATGATATTTAGAATTCTTATATGTAAAAATGGAGCTTTATTCAGTTTCTGGAGGGAGACGAAATTTGTGAAGACCCGAATGCTTAAGTTAAAGATCTGATGAAATCGAAATTCTTAGTTTATAAATAAACAGCAAGTGGAACATGGGAATTTTAATAAGTTGAAGATAGTAACGACGTTGTGACATTTTTGTCGACGTTTCTCTAAATACGTGCGATCTTCCGTTTATTAACGATTGTTATTGAAAACCGTGACGTATCGGTTGTCGCTCGTTGGCAATCTTTGCGCCGAATTTTTAATCTCCGGCCTGGATACTTCGGCATGTTCGTTAATCAACGAGACCGGGACGTTAAATTACGGAAAATATCAGTCGCGCGTAAATCCCGGCCGGTCGGTCCTGCACAAACAAATCAGATCTTATCGGCGATCGTAATGTCCGGGTTCCATTAATTGAATTGGTATTATTATTTCGCGACGTATTAATTCCCGCACAATGGCTACCGTAACATCGATATTTCAGCTGATACGCGTTACTTAACGGGCCGGGCCTTTGTAATATACTGGTGAACATAATTAGAGAGACGCTGGTATAAATCATTCTATGCGTGGAGCCTATTAGATGACGTCGTTCGCCGAGAATCTTTGATCATGTGATTGA